CAGATCAGGCAAGCAACCCTGAAAGGGAGGAAAGGAGTTTGGTGGCCATATGTGGCCATTCATTACGCCCCACTATGCCCACAGCACACATTTAGTTCGCTGGATTTTCAGATGCATCATTTTTGTGTGATTTTGTTCTTGTTTCTTGTGTACAATTGCTCTTTTCCCATTGCAAGTGTTTTCATGTGTTTTCCATTGTTTTCCAGTGTGTTCCATGGTTTCTTTCTACTTTTTCTCATTTACCATGATTTACAGTACCATCCGGAAGACTAGAGTCGGCTGAAAGGACAAGTCTAGTTTCGTGGCCTCGTAAGTCGACTACGCACCACGAGGTCCCGCTTTCAGATGGCAGCTTGGTGGAGAATTTCCAGGCCTTGGAGTGCGGATCTGCTGTCCTTCGATCAAGAGATGGTGCGCAGAAGCTGGAACCTGGGCTTAGACTACTGGTGGCATGATTGAAGCGACTTTGAGATGGTCCTGAAGTATCATTTTTACATATCAAATCACAAACATCACACATGCAGGGCATGCATTTTTCACCTGTGGCACGCACAACATGTTGACCAAACAAACTGGGCAACGTGGAGTGGGCTGCTGTCTCTGCGAAGCCGAATCTTCTGCAGCTCAGGAAGTGAGACTTGAGTCCCAAATTGGCCCCAGAAGCTTGAATTTACCAAACGACTTGGAGAGTGAGGACATGACATCTCTGGACATGTGAGATGTATGGAGATTTGAGAGTTCACTGAGAAGCCAACGCGCAGAATTCACATGCAAAGCCTTCACTCCAGGACCAAAAAGTGGACCTTTCCTCTGTGGGAAAGTATTTGTCTGCGCAGGCAGCAGTTATCGTGCGGAACGCTCAGGTTATCCTACAGTTTTTAATGACTCTTTCATGCATGGAGTGGCATGATATTGTGGCATTCCTCACACTTTTGGTCATGTTGATGGAGCATGAGACAGTTGGCATGTCCGCTGGCCACGCCTATTCTGCCAGGAGCAGCGGCGATTGCCGGACAGCGACAAGGAATGCAGCATTTGCTCGGAGGATTTGGTGTGTCTTGATGAAATTGATGGAGCACAAGTTTTGCAAGTTGATGTAGACTGGTACAAATATGGGCATGGGTGATGGGCATTACATGGCATTACAAACTTTTTCTCCCACCCTTCAGGTGATGCTCTCTAGATTTTGACAAAGGTGCAACTCACTCCGTGCCTCCTTCCTTCCTTCTTTCCTTCCTTCCCTACTGTACCCTCGCCAGATGCGGTGGAGGTTGTTCTGGACCCGAACTCCAAATCACCAACCCAGGATGCTGTGGAGTGCACCTGACCAGAGAGATCCAGACAGAATACCAGATAGAATACCAGACAGGATGTCAGATACAATGTCTATATGCCAGAAAGAATGTCAGAATATAGAATATGCAATATATACTTCCAGGCGGTATGTCAGAACTATGTTAGAATAGTGTGTCAAGTTTTGGATCACTCGACGAAAGTAATTTATGGAACTCCTCTTGAGCCTTGACAACTAAGGGCAGCTGAGAAGGCACCAGTTCCTTCCTGGGCAGCAGCCAGATTTCCATCCAGAGCTCAGGAGGGGCTTGGGGCTTGATATGTGCCAGATGTGCCAGGATTTGGTGATTAATTTTGCCTCCTTGTGGCAAGTTGGGTGTATGATATACATGAGTATAATTTGCGTATATATATATATATGTATATATATATGCGTATATATATATATATTACATACACTCTATTTATGAACTACACATATTTTCACAACAATTTCGCACGAAGGCGTTCTTGCAGACCTCGTTGTTTTCCCCTCGCAAAATGGGTTCGTGCCTCCTAAAACTCACCATGCTTATGTTTGATGCCACTGCGCCAAAATGGATGTTAAACTTCCGGCAACCGAACCACAAACATGACTAATATAAAAGATCAGATGGGGCCGAGGTTCGGACACAGCCTGCAACACAACTAGAAGAAGTAACTAGTGGACAAGAGATAAGGGGAAACAACTGAGAAGTTACAAATTCAACGGAACACTTTTCCATGCTTTTCTTGTCAGAGAAACAGGCGGAATCTGTCGAGTGCCTTCTTCCTATGCAGGCAGCAAGCGTGGATGACGACGGCGATGTTGTGATCCGGCTTTCGTTGGTGATTCTTTTGAAATGTGGCGTTGATGTGACTTGTGGGCGGTGTTTTCACACATTGGCCAACCCACACACACACAGGCAACCAGGATACAAGACATGGGGAAGTTGGGAAGAATCTTGAACGCTTTGCACTTGTCCACAAATGCTGCCACGAATTAGAGCTTGCTCAGGCAACTCAGAGTTTGTTTATCATTTGTTAAGGTCATGGAGGAAGTCCATTCCACTTCAGCCGGCTCTACTTCCGTCGCTTCGGGACTGCATTTTCCGACAGATTGAACGACATCAGAAAGTAATTTTTGTGGATTGTTTGGATTGTTTGAATCCAGCAATTCTCTTTCAACACGAAGCTGCTGTATCCTGATACATCCTGAACCATTTTTGTGCAGGACCAGTTTATCAACTCCGGTGCGGCCACGTCTACCACACGGAGTGCTTGAAGAAGTGGTTTGAGCAGCGTGCCTCCTGCCCTCTTTGCCTCAAAGAGTTTGGCAAAGTGGATCCTTGCCAGAAGTGAGACAGATGTTTGTGCAGGTGTATGACTACACATCATAGTGGCTGTACAGTACGTACATTGTTGCTGCAAGACAGCAGCATGTGTATCATTGCTTCAATGCAATCCGCCACTCAAACTCGACTGACCAGTGGTTACACAACATATGAAGACTGGAACAACATGGAAGAACCAACTGTATCCTTGGATGTTTTGCTCTTCCGACTTGCCGGAGCATTGACTGATATTGAACATATTTTGCCAGTACTATATTGGAAAGGCCTAAGGATGGCTAATATGGCTGTCAGGTGCTGGTAGACTTTGAAACAGCCACAAACTGCAAAAGGGTCCAACAAGCTCACGCCTCACAGCAATCCAGGTTGGGACGCAGCCACGGACGGGCTCATTCCAGTGGCACGTGGATCGCACCGTGCAGTTGCCGGGGCACATGGGGGCGCGTGGCGCCATCATGATACTGTGACTTGGAAAGTCACAAAGGTGTTTGGTTTTCCTGGAGGGGACACTTGTATACACTTGTGTGTTTTCCTCAAAGGCCACTCGCAGAGTGAATCATTGGATTCACAGATATTCTGAATTCATCTGAATTCCATGCAGGGCTGCTTCCAGGTTCCTTCTGATTGGAAGAATCGTTTCGCAAAATGTTCTTTTGCCATTTTCCTATGATTTGATGACGCACACAGTGTGGGGCTAGATCACCACCAGAGAGCGTAGAAAGACACTGGAACTGCATCCCAAGTCCTTTGTCCCAAGTCCTATGTCGAACCGTTTGACATTTCATGTTTGGAGGAGATTGACCTTTCTGGTTTTCTCATCTCTTCCCAAGGTTCGAATTTCCTCCTGGGACAGACGATGCTGGGCGTCCCTATCCAGGCCGAACAGAGTTTGGCAAAGATAGGATACACTTTGCAGAAGGATGCTTGAAAAGCCAAATAATATGTTTTTTGGTATTATGTGTCAGTAGACGTATTAACTAACCAACTTACATACATACATAACATAACATAACATAACATTACATAACATTATAGTACATTACATTACATTGCATTACATTACATTACATAGGTAGATAGATAGATCGATCGATAGATATAGATAAATAGACAGATAGATAGATGCATACAAATTTACATATGGTACAAATCCTAGTCCATGGTTTCGTTTTCACAACTGCAATAAACGTGCGGTTGTTGCGCCAGGTCGAAGGGAGAAGGGTTTCCTTCCCAATAATTGTCAAGGCATTATCCAACTGGAACTCTTCAAGGCGCGATCACATTTGGGTCGAATTTGCCGGGGCATTCCTTGAATTCTGATGCTTCATCATGGTTTAGCATGATTTTGCGGACATGGAATTATGAACATGGCCCTAAGTTGGGCATGTACTTGATGGGACCAACCAATTTCTATTTGATGTCCCCTTGGTGCTGAAAAATGTCAAGCTTTTTTCGCAGTGAACTTCAGCTCAGAGGTCGCCTTCCGCCGGCGAGTGATGTTTGCCTTGAGCACCTCCCTGACAACAGGAAGATTCAAACCTACGCTGCTTGATTTGCAGACTTGGGACCGCTAGAGATGCCTTCGCACGGATATATTCAATATAGTTGTTGACCATGAACAGGGAAAAATATGGAAAAAGGGTTCAGTGTTTGCACCGTTCTACATTCAGAACGATCAAGTGGAAGGTCTTGAGTTTTTTTGAATAAGCCCTGCTGGCCAACACAACCAATCATTGATTCAAAAACGGGGCCGATAGTTCCTGAGGTTCAATATTCACATCAAGACAAAGCCGAGAGGCGGTGCTGCGCAGCACGGATATCCAGACAACGATTATTTTCAAAGGTCCCTGGACGAGCTGAAGAACGTCGGGATTTCGGTTGCTGACCTACCTGCAGGTATGGATTGCAGCACATGACGCATCAAACTTAGCAGACTTAGCAACAGTTGGGTAGTTGTGAAGCAGACAGCTCCCACTGTCCTCCGCAGAATTGTACAGTGGATGTCATGGCCCGCAATCCGCCGGGCCATTTCCGGTGGAGGATTTGCGAGTCAGTGCCGACCAGCGAGTGTTGCGGAGCAAAAACTGAAGTTCAAACAGCACTGGGAAGTTAACATCGCTAGAGTCCGAGGCTTTCCTGGAGCTGCACAGAATGTAGTCACAGCAACGAAAATAGAATACATTCTGAAGAGGCCTGGGGAAGAGGTGAAGGTTTGACCAAGACCTGAGCCATACTTTTGGTACAGTGTACCCAATCAAAGGAATCTTGCCAGTAAATGCGGACATTTAGTAGACTCAGACAAGGATACTTTCACTTTGGGCTCACTTGGACGTGAGAAGGGAAAACTCTTCTTGGACTAGTTCTACAGTATTCTCTTCCAGAAGCCCCAGCTGCAGGTGATTTTGCTTACACATCTCCATGGAGATCATTGCTATGGGCTTTTTGGTGTGTTCCCAGCTCAAGCAGACATTGGTAGGGACCAGGGGTCAACAATTGACGATTTGCCCTGAAAGCTTCCAGTAGCTGGTTTGGAAGGGATGATTCGAACCCGGCATTGCCACAACCGGCGGAGAATGCGCTTGCAAGGCTAGAGTCGAGAGCGTGAAATTTGACTAAGGTTGAGCACAGCTGCAATAGAGGGTCGAAAGGAGCTTGGTCCACACTTGGAACTACCTGGCTTGATGCACAGCCTGCACCATTTTCAGACTGCAGGACCCTATCCTCATCGTTGGCCCACAGGGGTTGGTAGCTCAATCTGCTGAGCCATGGTTTTTTTCAAACGCTTTCAGTGCCTGGCATTTGGCCGATGTTCAAATCCTTGCGGCTTTGAGGATTCAGGACATGGTGGAGTCGATGCTACGTTTCTCTGGTGGATGGGTTGCTGAGGTTCCTATCCCAGATATCCCAGATATGGCCTGCCGCATCACCTGTCCTGGCCTGTCATGGCCTGTCGCAGGAAAACTTCAAGATCGAGTACCTGGAAATTCCAAATATTGGAGTTGAAGGCCTGAGACTTTGGCTGAGACTTTGCATGCCTAAAAAACATAGGTTTCCTTGGGGTGTGCATGATGTTGGATCGCAACTCCAGGTGGATGTTGGGTGTTCTTCATATCCCTTTCAGCTAGTCCCATGGAGTCCTTCAAATCAATCAAAGCCCTTCGGATTTGAGTTGATATCCAGAAGGAATCCTGAAAGTTGGGAGTGATATGATATTGACCACCGTGCCTTCATCATCTTTGGCAAACGTCCACTGTTGAGGCGAAGATCTTGTGGGACCACACGGTTCAGGTGTGCTGCCAAAGCTGATTGGTCTGCTAGTTACTCTGGACCCACTGGATATCCTTTTTTCCATTAACAAAAGAGGCGGACACAGGACATGATACTAAATAAATATATCTAAATAAGTCTAAATATACTAAATACATCTAAATACAAACCATCAACCATCACCATACATCACCTAAATTTTCACTACGTGCCACACTCTTAGCTGACGAAAGGTCCTCGTGGTTTGGGCTTTCACCCAGAGCGGTGCAGACGTGCCGCTGCTGTGCCACTGGGAATCCTGGCCTTGGTCTTAAGATTCTTAAGCGCAACTCCAATGATATGGCTTCATGTGCTTTCTGAGGGTCTGGATTTTGATGAAAGATCTAGGGGAGCCTTCAAGAAATGCAAGCACCTCGTAATGCCTCGTATCAAGGCCGGATTAAAAGTCCAAGCCGTGCCCCTGGTGCATGGCATACCGGTGATATCTAGCATGTTTGGCAGTGCACAATGCTGTTGAAGTGTGGCATGATCAGACATATCAGACATCACTTTGATGCAAGATTTATTGTATCCCAAACAGTTTTGAGATCAGTGTGTTACTGTAGCATCTTAGTACTATTTAGTACTATTTCGCATTCACCATGCCAAATTTGGGTACCCTAAGTTTGATCCATCCCACCAGAACTTCGCCAGGACTGGGGCTATGTCTTAACCGAACCGGACCGGCCGGGGAAGCTGGATGCGGCAAAGGCCCAAAAACTTGGAATTCCTCGAAGTCCTTTGTGGGGCCCTCAGGAAGATTGGAGCCAGGGACCTGTGGCAGCAACGTTTGGCCAAGGATGGGGCGGTTGAAGAAGGGGGAAACCGTGACCTTGGACAATGGATCGTGCGAGCCCTCAGCGTCGTTGCGGGAAAGGGGAGACGACAGGACGGGAACGAGAAGCTATTTATGTTCGAGCTAGAATTGCAGTAGCAACTTTGAAACTCAACAGAGCCATTGAAAAGATCCCTGTTGCTTGCTTATTATCGTGGGTTATGGTGTTCTAGTTGTTGTAGATGTTGTAGCTACTATTTTCGACCCATGGTAGGTCAATGATAGGACTATTTTCCAAATCATGTGATGGGATAGGGCTACTTTTTCATGGCTCAGTTGACCGTGGCATACCGTGGACAGGGTGGTGCATCCCGAAGAAGTCCTGGGTGAAAACCTTAGACCAATCAGTTGACCAGTTGACCAGATAAGTCTACAGCATTCTAAGAATTCTACCGCTAAAATCTACAGCATGTGGTTTCTTCAGATGTTTGATGTTTCTTCAGATGTTTCTTCAGCATTTCTTTTCCAGTCTTCACAGTCTTCACAGTCTTCACCTGACAGAGGGTCTCCTGAGATCTGAACTCCAAGAGTGAGCTTTGTCCAACATGTGTGCAGGGCCACCGATTGCTGGGCGCACCTTTGCAGTCTTGCAGGCAAGAAGTGACATCAAAAAGCACAACTTATTTTCCATTCCGATTCCATTCTTCTAGCTAGTTGAGTTGAGTGCCAACGCTAAGTCCTGATGGACGGGGTCCATAAATGTCCATAACATCAATTAGTAGAAGTGATTGGATGCAATTTGCATTTATGTTTGTCTTGGAACATTTCTTCCCATAGCGAGGACACATCAGATGCGCGCAGCGCTATCAAGCCATGTCACTATGCTAACTGCGTGGCTCTCTCAGTCCAACATGTCCAACCAATGTCGATCCCCAAGCGCTTTCTTTGCCAGGGTAAAAGTGACCACTCCTGTGTTTTTTTTGGTATGAAAGATGACATTGTTGTTTGGACATATTGTTTGGACATATTTCAAAGACAATCGACTAGTACAGCGAAATATGTGTGGATATGCTGGTAATATGCTTGAATTTTTTCTCACAGCGAACGGTGCAGACTTCAGGTGGTCCATGAAGCAACATTTGAAGCAGCCATGGAGGAGGATGCACGGACCTTGGAGCAGATTCAATGGATCCAATGGATCGGACGCCAGTGGCTCCAGCTGAAGAGCTGCAGGCCTTGAAGAAGGGGCACAGTACGCCATGCACCCAGCTGGTCCGTTTGGAACTCTCGTAGAGATTCGTAGAGCTTAGTCGTTGATTCAAAACGGATCAAAGCGGATTCTGAGATATTTTGAGTATGTCCTGTCTGAGTCCTGTATTTCTACTGGAGTCTACCTCGCAATGCATTTGTTTTGCATCCTGCAAGGAGTGTGATGGCCGCTCGCTTTGCTGTCGCCTGTGAAGCGTTTGGATCTCAGCGTCAAGGCAGCTACCAGAACGTGGAATTGTTTAACTGAGGATAAATAATGATAGTTAGAAACCTATGGTAAGTCTAGATGCAGCATGATGCAGCCATTTAATACGGAACAGGCAAGTGTTAAATAAAGATGATAGCGATTTACCCAACATCCGAATGCCATCTTGACCTATGTAGGAGCAAGGTCAAGCCCAGGTTCCGCCATTTGAAGGGTCATTGCATGGCCAGAACCGCTCATACTTGTACTGCCCTTGTTCTAAAGCATATTTGTGCTGCAGCATGTGTATATATAGAGAAAGATAAAGATGTGTAGGTGCATATGACTCCTATGACATATTATACGTATATATATATATATAGATGTTTACCTATTTGAGCCTTTGTTGAAGCTACGTGGTGTTGTGCTGTTTGGGAGGCCATGCTGGTTTCACACCAGTTGTTTGTTGCCCAGTAGTGCAGATGAAATCTATATGCTGACAGCCAACTGGCCCATGTTGAGGCTATGGTGGGCCCATGTTGGGCCAATGTTGGGCCACTTGAAGGTTTGTTGAACCCATTATTTTTATGCAACAAACTAAGAAACATAGAAGTACAGTACAAGAAACGTTGCACGATATGGCACGCGTTTTTCAATTTTCAAAGACGGATTTGAGGCGTGCATCTTTTTGACATGATTCACTTATAGATGAACCACAAAAAAGGTTCAAATGATTCCATGTGGTAGGGGCCCAAGCAAGTAGAGAGCAACGAATTCAGCATTTTCTTTTGCATCAGCTTGATTATGGGAAGATCTCTGTTTTAGAGGATATGGAGCATCAAGTCCAGTAGTACTTTGCAGTGGCATGCACCTAGTGGTCACATCACTCTTTGAGCTTTCGGGGATCTGATTCCAAGCTTCGCAGGGATCGGTTCAAGGCGCCAAAGAATGGCTGTCAAAGTGAGACAACAGCTTCTGCTCCAAGCGTGGCAGAAGAAAGCACTGAAGGTAGTCGAACCAACACAGTTTCAAAATTTGCAGTTTTTATCGATTACAATCAGTGGCGAGTCATGGAAACACACGATGTGTTTGTTCATGACAACGGTGTTTTCAATCATGTGTTTCTTTTCTCGAACTTCAGTGATCATTTTCAGATGACCTTTGAACCATACCGTTTCAATTATTTCCACTGCGCTTCAAGATGCTGTCGCCATGGGCCCCTTGAGCTTTAGTGAGCTATGGCCAAATCATTCCACCGGCTCTCGGTGGCTCAACAGCAGTGATGCTCTCTGTGATGAATACAGTGGGCTGACGGGAAAATGTTAACCCTGGATTAGTAACCCCCCAGTTTATCATGGGGTGTTCCCAAAATATAGGGCTTTATAGGGCTTTGTGGCTTTATTAATCCTGGGTTGATATTATCTGACATGACATGATCTTACTACGATGTGTTTTTCGAATTTACTCAGCAAGTTTGTTCCTGGTTGCGGCCTTGCTTCTCTTCTCATATCGAAGGAGAATGAACGCAGATTTTTCATGGCGAATACCGGAGGGGCATTAGATCCAGCCAGTCTGAGGTATCTCCATTCGCATGAAGGAACTTCATGGCTTATTGGGCCACCAGGCCACTGTGTGGAAACAACTGTTTTCCTTGATGAGTTTTGTGTCAAACCAATTTCCTCAATCATCTGAATCAGGTGGTCGATGTCGGATGGTTGCTTCAGCGTTTCTGGGAGGCAAGACTCAGTTTAGACGCCATAGGTAAGAATCACGAGCGATGTTGGCAAAGCAGTATAAAGCAGTGCAGATTACACACTGGCTCGCAATGCTGACAGGTGAACCGAAAGTCCAGTGGGACTCTCTGCCCTTTCAGCCTCCCAAGCCTACGGATATAGTGACTAAGATTGAAGCCGGTGACCAGACCGTTTGCAAATTCAGCAGGGTGTGACGTTCAGTGTGGATTGTTATTCCACTAGAAGAAACCAATTGATACTTTATGTTTATGATATACTTTATGCTACTTGGACGTTGACAATACATCACATCGTCATTGGCCGACTTGCACTTTGGCACAAATTGCTGTGGCCATGAGAGGAAGAGCTTCCGGAACCGGAACCTGAAGATGGTCGTGTGGCAGCTGGGTTCAACCTGTCAACTTTGATATACAGAGATGTTATGATAACATTGGCATATGAACATTATGAACCAGATTGAACCAGTGGATTCAGTTGATGTATATCCAAGAAGGCCTCGCAACCAAGGTTCAACCCCCAGGACCACCGATACCCTCTGCCATCAGCTCTTCAGCTGCAGATGATGCAAACATCTTCAGGCGGCACAGAATTGTGGATAAGGGGCCCAGAAGGACTTTAGCTACATCAATAAGTATATACACATGATCATATGATCACATATTTATAATTTATAGTTAGACATATACAGATATCTTTGAATATGACTGGTATTACCTTGAAGCCTTGCCATAAAAATCGCAGTATGTAATATCCAAAACCCGCCATATCCATACATGAATACATACAATGCTACATAATCATATAGATAGACAGTATAGACACATAGTATGCCATACTATATCATAGTATAAAGACATAGATACGTAGAATAAAAACACAATATACAATATATATATAATATATATAATATATATATAATATATATAATATATATATATATAATATAATATATATATATGCAAATATAATATAAACCTAGACACACATATACATGCACACATCTATATATCTGGATAGATAGATATACACGCATAGAAATAGCCTCCAAAGCCATCACCAAGGAGGCCTCAGTGGTGAAGCCGATGGACCTCGTCCAGTTTGGTCAAAACCCGAAGGCTACAAGGCGGTCTGGGAGATTGAGGCCTCTCCAAACTGGAATCCCATCAACAACTCTACTAATATGATAATATATGTGTTTATGATGTATTATACATTTGTATATGTTGTGTATAAACATAACATATATATATATATAGATTGTGTATAATATATATAATGTGTATATATATAAAGCATATATACAATATAGTGTATATATATATATGTAATGTATGTATAATGTACATATATATAAATTATATTAGAGCATATATATATATGTATATTAGTGTACACACACATATATATATTATATGTATATAATGTACATATATATACATATATATATGTATATTATTTAAATGTATACACATATCAACGCTTTGAAAATGGTTCTAGAGATCTTAAGGAAACTTGATGGATTTGAAGTGCGCAATTTCAGTCACAGCCTTACTTTCCTATTGGCCACCCTTGTGTGCCAGGTGGAGGACGGGCGAATTGTTGCTATAGCCCCAGATGAGGCTGAGGGACCGGGGCCGATCACCTGAGGTCGAAGCATTGAGAAGAGAAGTGACACCAAAGAACAAGGTGAAATGTTTGCAAGTGGCAAGATGGTTAGGATTGGCTAGGGCAGTTTTGATTATTTTCGTTTTTTAGGTGGTGCATAGTTGCCAGTCCATAGTACATAGCTCGCCCTGTTGACAGGCTCGGGGCTACTTCCGTTACATCAGGCGTGCCAGATGTGAAGCTCAGCAGTTTTTTGGCCCTCAGCCTGTGGATGAAATTCCTGAGTGAATCCTCAAGCTGTCATTTGGTGCCAGGAGTGAAAATTCCACAGAGGAAGTCACAGATCCTCCCATGTGGCCACCACCTCCACGCCCGCACCTTAGATGCCGATTTTCCTGGACGGCCTAGACACCATCCAGACACCGCCAGGCAAAAGGGGAGATTTGGATTTTCCATCAGGGCCAATTCCCAGCGTGGAGGTTGGAGTTGTCATAAAAATGGCATAACTGTCAAAGTTGCCGAGTTGTTGGACATTTCAACAGCTCCTGCCATTTCTGCCACCTCTGCCAATCGCAGATCTATGGGGAGCACCACATTGCTGAAACTGACAAGGCTCCAAGAGTGCAACTTCAGGGACATGAGCACACCACTTCATTCTACTGTCATGGTATGACATGCATCCGACATGGGTGGGTAAGCTGCGCGACCTTAAGCAGAATTTTCAGTTGTTTGAAAGTGGTGTGTTTTGCCAACTCTGGAGGCCAATGCCGCCTGGAAGGAGCAGTTTGAGCTGCATGAGGCGAAACAGCCAAAGATGAAGCTGATTGATATGTCTGATATGTCAAGAAGAGTTCCTTGGCATTCCTTGGCTATGAATGATTGCATGTCCCATTTTGAGCGCGAGAGCTGCTTGAAACCACTGTTTTGTAGGCAAGGTACTCGAAGCACCTCAAAAACATTGCAGGGTGTCTGTTGTGACACAAAGAACACTTTTTTCAGGAGTCACTTGGACCCCTTTGAAATCACCCTAAACAAATCATCCTTGTGCTGCTGACGGAACAGACCTTGTTCGGTATCTGGTTCGGCAAAATCTGGGTGACATGGGTGACTAAGTCGCCTGACGCAAAGGGAAGCGATGATCAAGAGGCCCGGCAAAAAGAACTCACATGATCCGTCAAATAATCTAAATAAAGAGAGGCTTCCAGAATTCACAGTTTGTTTGATTTTTTTATTTGCTGCATGTTCAGACTTAAGCCTTAAGCTTTGCCTTTGGAATCTACAGCAGCGAGGCGAACAATGCCCTTGTTCTCCGCTACACAAGTCCAAATGCAGACAATATCGTGCCAGAAGAGGAGCGAACTGGATTGGAGTAGCGGACGGTTGCGCAGTCTCAGTGTTGGTTTGCTGTGGCTAACAAAGCGCGGCTTTTCAGCTCCAATTGCTGGGCTTGAAGCGTGATGAAGCGTGAATCCGTGGTGCTGTGAGAAAAAAAAGATGCCTATGGGTGTGCTGCATCAACTCATCAAGCAGATTGAACTCACTTGGACCGAGGAAGCGCTTGGTTTTATCTCATTTCTCTGCACGGTATGCAAAGACTTCAGATGCTGGGCTCCCAAAACGGAGCAGGGCGGATTGTGTTGTTGCAGAATCCACAATAGCCATAAGAAAAGTTAACGCAAAATGGTCAAAATGGGGGGAGCCAGCAATTCTTTGCCAATGTCCAACGCCGCAGTTAGACAGAACACAGGATTCAAGAGTTGCCACGATTGCCTAGTTTCTCCCTGGCCGCTTTTCCACGCGGACACGATGTTAAAAAGTTGATCTCGATATGTCTATACCTCCAATATTGTGCATTCTTGTGCCGAATTCCAAATCAAAGTTCATTGGCAGCAATTTGTTCAAGCAACTTCATGGCGCATTACTCTGTCTGCTTCCACACAGCATCTAACATCCAGAGTGGACGATACAGATCGAAATGAAATGATTTGAGATATGGCTTGGTCCAGGGGTGATTTCATAGTTTATGATCATTTTACTGGTACACAGTAAAACTGCCTATAGGTGGAGAATGATGATGGTTGTGACCCAGCTGAAAAGCTTGGTGAGGAGGTGCCATCCTGCCATTCCCTTTTCAGAGACCACCCGTGTGTTGGTCACACATCAGCCGGAGAAGACTTTCAAAGCTTCTATTGCAAGATATTATCATATATTGTCATTCATAACAAAAAATGTTGTTACCTATCGCTACAAAATATTGTGAATTGAATGCATTATTACACACTACATTTGCTATATTAGATTCTACTTGTATCAACTGCAGATGTACCATGTTGGTCCAAATTGTGCCAAGCGTGTCGGTAGGCAGCCAGAAATCATGTTCAAAAGGTTCTAGGTTTGATAAAGGGTGAAAGCTCGCAAGTTGTGAGACTGTGCAAGATGCATGGCCGCGCCACAAGACACATAGGCAGTGTGTCTGTCAATAAGCAGCGCTGATTGAGAGATGGTCCCCCAACACACAGGCAAGGGAGGTTGTCGGAAATGTCCCTGTCACCGTTGCGCAGGACATGGGGATTTTGAGGGTAGGATTCACACTGATCCAGATGGTTTCCACAGATTCGCTGTGCACAGTTCTGAATTTGTAGACCTCTCACCTATCCGATGTTGTGTCAGCTATAGAAACGATGAGAGGTGTGTGAAAAGGTGTGCTCAATGCTAGGATTGGAGGTTTCGAATGCACTGAGGCTTAAAACTTGTACCGACTAAATGACTAGATTGAACTGCTGTCCATGGCAATGCGCTCAGGACTTTATGGCAGGGGAACTTGGCCTTGCAGGACGAATGATTGGAGTATTTTGCCTTTTCCCATCAGTTGATTTTCTTTTCCCTTTTCATGTTGCAAGGATTAAATTTCTGTTTTCCACGTTCATCTGTTATGGTCAATGTTTTCTTTCATGCGGCAGACCCAATCATAAACCATCCACAATTTTACCAGAAACCGATGATGTAAACTGTTCCAAAATGGGATATAAATTTATTGTTGGCTTTACCACATTCTTCCAATATTGTGGGTCAGGGGTTGGGTGAAATCCAGCAAGGTGTTGCGAGCCGACCGGGACTTTGAACCAGAGTTTACTCCTCAGCATGTCGCATGTCACGTTTGGAGCAACACCAATGACCGACTCATGGTACCGGTACCGTCACAGGTCGGAGCTTGCGGTTAAGAAGAATCCATGGTACCGAGAGGTGGATTCGGTGAAAGTCTCAGCTGAGGGCGAAAGGGAATGGAACGAGCTGGGATCCAAAGATACAGCAATTGGGAGCTGAGGAGCTGTGATTCTATCCACACATTGAGTGATTCAGGATGAATTGCTCGGGGTACCTAGCTCCTGAGATGCTCATCATCCTTTTCCATTCTCCAGCCTAGAAATGTCTATGTCAATTTGTTGCACCTGGGTGTCGTGCAAATAGGTTTGGGGACTGCTGACGGGCACTAAATCTCAAGAAATCAAACATGAATCATGAATTCTAATTCATATTGGAAATCCCCCCAAATTATCCATGGAGATCCATCCATGGAGCCATTTTGGTAATTATATAATATATATATATACCTAATATGAATATGCATTCCTTATTACTTATTATATATTGCATTCGTCACATTTCCGAAACCTATCATCCGCACACATTTTGTAGACACAGTGCAAGGAGACGCCTTCGCCCAGGCTCCTTCCAGCGCTGATGCAGCTGGGAAGCGCCCGAAAAAATGCGCTGCCGCGGATGGATGGGATGGACATCAGTTATCATCAGTTGATTGAGATTGATTAGCGATTTCAGTTTGTTATCCCCGTGGTTTGTTGATTAAAAAATATAGTTTCTATAAACTTCGGGTATTTTTTATTCAGGTCAGCAGGTAAAATGCACAGCCACTTGCCAGGCGCAAGCAGGAAAGGCCTGACTCGCGCTGAAAGAAGCCTTTTAAGGACGATGTGACCTGGGATGCCGCAGAGCCTTCATTTTTTTTGCACCAGGTACCCAAATAATCGATGGTTATGGAATATTATTGATGAAAAAACATATTGTAGATGTACATATATATATACGTAGGTGGTTTGGAACATTTTTTATTTTTCCATAATATATGGGATAATCCTTTCCATTGACTAATATTTTTTAAGATGGCTAAAACCACCAACCAGTATAGATATGATCTGATATGATACATTGTCTGATACTTCTTGATCGTTCGAGAGTTCAGAGAAACTAATGGGTTAAATGACCAGTGCACAAGAAGTATATATGATATACCTGCAACTACAAGTCAGAACCGGGCACCCTGGGACTTTCTCTTCATAAGACCTCTGCCGGAGGGGCAGTGGCAGCATCTTGCCGATGTTGATCGACTTGGTCCAAGTTTTGATCGATTTGTTCATACAGGCTTCGAAGGAAGCCTCTGCAACGCGTTGGGAGTTGCAGAGTTTTCAATCATGCTGCCATCCATTCACTCTGAATCAGATTCGATGGGAGCATTTTGGAGCTTTAGATTCACCCTACTTAGCAAAACACTGATTTATCTGATTTGATAGGTGCCTGGTTTGGAAGGCAGTTCAAGGTCAGTTTCACTGAAGAGGTGATTAGCCAAGCAGTGACAAAATACTTAATTACTATTTTATCTTGGGATGCGGCCTGTGCCTGCCACTTCCGAAAGCATTTGGTGACCGACCCCATGAGCTTCACATCATACTTCTGACTGGCTCAAGCCATTTTTACAGGCTAATTTTTGAGCAACGCCGGCCTGCTTTAGATCACCATGCGAGGAGCAAAGAAAGCTGTTGCCGTCGGAGTTGCAGTGGCAGTGGCATGTGGTCTCCACAAGCACTTGACTTTTGTGCCTGGGCCTCGGCATGCCGCTCCAGTGGCCGCCGCTGCTGCGGCCAGCATGATGATGGCTCCTGCGGCTTTTGCTGATGAGATCGGCGATGCGGCAAAGAAGCTTGGGGATGCTTCCTACTCTTTTGCCAAGGAAGTGGATTGGAACAATGGCATCTTCCTCCAGGCTCCTGGCAAGTTTCAGCCCTTGAAAGCTTTGAAGGCCATTGACAAGATGATCGAAATGGGGGCAGCCGCAGATCCCAAGCTTCTGAAAGACGCAGCAGAAGCACATCACAAGGCCATCGGGAGCATCAGCGGGCCAAATGGTGTGACTTCGCGCGCTGACTGGGATGCCGTGAATGCAGCCCTTGGCCGTGTAGTCGCTTCGGTCCCCAAAGCAAAGGTGATGGCCGTTTACGATGCGGTGAAAGACATCACGGACCCCAAAGTGCCAGCTTACATGAAGTCTTTGGTGAACGGACCTGATGCCGAGAAGGCCTACCAAGGATTCCTGGAATTCAAGGATGTTGTCGCAAAGAACCAGGTGGCCACCGCCAGTGCTCCGGCAGTTGTGCCTTCTGGAGACAACATTGGTGTAGCTGCAAAAGCTTTGTCCACTGCATCCTATCCTTTCATCAAGGACATCGATTGGCTGTCGGACGTTTACCTGAAGCCGCTGCCCGGCAAGACTGCCCCAGAGACCCTGAAAGCCATTGACAAAATGATCGTGATGGGCGCCAAGATGGATGGCAACCTCTTGAAGGCGGCAGCAGAGGCACACCACAAGGCCATTGGCAGCATTGATGCCAAGGGTGTGACGTCCGCAGCCGACTACGAAGCTGTGAATGCAGCCATTGGGCGCTTGGTGGCATCCGTGCCCAAGGCCACCGTGATGGATGTGTATAATTCTATGGCCAAGGTTGTGGATTCCACGGTCACCAACAACATGTTCTCGAAGGTGAACCCATTGGATGCAATCGGTGCTGCCAAGGGTTTCTACACCTTCAAAGATGTGGTGGAGGCTTCCCAGCGCTGAAGATGAACACCATCAGCATGAAGTCTCGACGTTGCTTTAATACATTACACATATTTTTTTATATTGTATTGCGTGTAGTTACGGAGGCTACAGTGTCCTGACCGACGCAGGAGCCTCAGAAGATCAAAAAAGATGTGATGCCGCACAAGAACCAATTTAGGTCATGATGTGTTGGGTAGGGCCATGACCATTCTCATGCCGGGCTTTTACCCACGTTTCTGTGGCATTCTGTGGCGTTCCGTGGCATTCTGTGGCATTCTGTGACTGTGGCATCCAAAAATCTCATGACTTGACATGTTCGGCGCTGCCGCACTGTCTCAAGAACTCAGCGCCAACCAACTGCCGCACCTTCCGAACTTCTCCGGTTGGGGCACTCAAAATCAGAGCATCAATGGCAGTTGCCTTCCCAAGATGACAGGCCAAAGTTTCCATGTGAGTGATATGTAGTTTTCTAGCACAACCCGGTAACCCACGTCTAGAGTATGACAAAATTTCATCTCAAACATTTTCTTTTTTTCCTCATGAATCATGAATCCAGAGATTGGTGCAGACTAATGCACATTTGGGTGTGTCTGAAAATGTGGTATTATCCTCCGGAATGCTTTCTGGTGGAGATAAACTCATAAACTCAGACAACAGCATTCGATCCCGATCATTAATCTGTTTCCTGAGGTTCGGTATGACAGATCGGCGCAAAAATAAACGACCTGTGATTGCTTCCCTCGTGGCCTTTGCGCTGTCTGGAATCCCAGCCGTACCTCTGTCAAATGTAACATCAGCTAAACATACGTAGCTACTGCAACTTAGGGCTATGACCATGACATACTATGACTATGACTATAACATACTATATCTACAAGTGTGATAAATGATAGTTACGTACTATTACTACAACCACCTACAAGCTATTACAACTTATAACTATGACATAAGACAATGATAATACTAGAAGTTGATTTAGATTAACCAGTGCCAAGGGGAGAATCACTGACCCAAACTCTCAGGGCTCGTTTGTTTTCAGCAGTTTTTGCTGTCATGCCGTGTCATTTGAGTTTGTCCGAGAATAGAGTACCCCCAAAACTGTCATGCTTAATCATCAGAGGCTCCATTACAAGCGCTAATCAACTGCTTTATGGATATCTCATATCTCCATATCTCTCCCACTTTCAGACACTATTTGACACTATTTGACATTTGTCTTGTTGACACTGCAATTGCCACAAGGCTTGGGCTCTCTTGGCAATGGTCTGCCACCTGCTTTGGTCAGGGCACTCTGAGGGATGCTGGCCATTGGCCATTGGCTTTGGGAGATGCGCGGGATGGCCATTTTGGCTATCCCCAAATCATTTTGATTGGCCATACATAACTGGTTGGTGGTTTGGAACACTTTTTATTTTCCATAATATATGGATTATATGGGATAATCCTTCCCATCATGATTTAATTTATGATTAAACTTTGATAAACCATTTTTGTTTTTGGGTACCATGATTTTCCGACAAATCGGATCATTGGATCGGGTCGGGTTGGTGTGCTGGTTACCAGTTGGTCAGTTGTGCTGACGCTCCTGCTTATTCCATCTGGGTTTTGTCAGGGACAATTCCCAGGTTTTAAACTGCATACAGATACGGGATAGCTGGATAGCCCGACACTGCTGGGCTGAGGCAAGAAAGCCAGCAAGGAGAGCCACAGTGCTGCAAACACTTGGGTGTTGGAAGATTGGAGACATGTGGGGTTGGAAACCAACATAATTTTAAGATATTTAAGAACTATAGATTCTACAGATAACAAACCTAGACCTGTAGATTTTGCTTCTTGGAGTGATGCAGGAGTTGCCAGCAGACGACAAAGCGAAGATCATCAGCCTTGTTGGCCGAGAGGTGCCACAAAGCTTCAGACCGGCTCACAAAGATCCCTTTCTCTACCCTTTGAGACATTTTCTCCATTTCTTGCTGAGCAATGATACTTTGGGACTCTTTGGGATGGTGCATGCCAAAGACTTCTGCAGTGTTAATCCCCATCAAAGCCCTTTTCTATCTTTTCTGCCGGGTCTTGTAAGTGAACATGCTTTGATTGAGAAGCGAGATTGAGGTGGTTGACAGCAGAGGGAATCCAACAGTGGAAGCAGAGCTGACCACAGGCGTTTGGGTGTCCATGCTTCGGCCCGGAGATACCACCATCTCTCATCACGCAGACGGTAATAAACCCGATACGACCCAGGGATTGAAAGAAGAATCCGCGTACTTGTTTCATCTTCTCGAAAAAGACGCAGGTTGTCCTTGCAAGGGGATCTACTCCAATTCTGAATACCTTGTGATCACTGAACAGCGCTGTGATCGTGCTGTGTCGCAGGCTATGGCACCTTCCGCGCAATTGTGCCCAGTGGAGCCTCCACTGGAATTTACGAGGCTCTGGAGCTCCGAGATGGCGGCAGCCGCTACAAAGGAGTGGCTGCTTGGGAAGGTCATTGGAAGATACGTTACTATATGATATTATATGATACTATGTGAATTTATATGATGCATTTTGATGCATTTTGAACCATTTTAATATTACTATGTCTACTTCAATAACCTCAGAAACGGTTTGAGGCAAACTGGACAGGACCTCCCCCACCATCCCCCACCCATTTGATGGAACATCCAGACTTTTTTGCGCCAAAGTTTCCACTTCAGCTGGTGACCTTGAACTATGAGCTGGAGCGACTTGCCGCTGAGAGGAGCTGGGGTTACCAAGGCGGTGAAGAACATTAACAGCATCATTGCGTGCTGTTCCTCAGATCTTGCGACATCTTGCGACCCTTCACATTCTAAGCATCGTAAAGATCCGGAACTGGCAAGATGCTGTGTTTGCAATTGTCATTTCTGTGGCTTTATCAATCTTGAAGATCTTGAAGGCTTGAATATAACATATTATATATATATTATTATATTCTTTGTCTTGCTTTCCTGCGAGGTTGGGAGCACAGCCAGGTTCTGCACACAAGGTATTAAATGAGGTTCAGAATTCTTCCCCTCTGCGATCCACATGATTTGGTTTCTCAACCTTAGACCCGAGGCCAAAGTTGAAGGGCAAAGACGTCCGACTCCAAAGGGAGCTTGATGACTTCATGGTTTGGCAGCCCAGATGAGGGGTCCATGGTTCTGTGACCTTTGGCGGATGTCCATTTCAGACCTTGGCCCCTAAAAATGGTGTAGTGTAGTGTGGCGTATCAAGATGCTCTACCTACCTGGTACATCCTGGTATCATGAGTCACAGGTGTTCAACTGGTTCCACACGAGGCATTCACTCTGACTTCTTTCGCCGTCAGACAGGGTCCCTTCCCAGGTTCAAAAGCTGGACGGAACACAGAACGATTGGGGCTATCCCAAGGCGCAAAATCTGCCAAGAGGATGTTTGCCACTGGAAGAATCACCTTTTTCAGTGCGCATCTTCAAAATTCTTCAAATATCAGAGTGTGTCACAGAGGGATGTTTCTTGATTTCGCCGAAAAGGCCTTTGCATTACTGTACATGTTCACATCATATACATCATTTCAATTCATTTCACATCTACTTTTTTGTCGTGTGTTGTTATTTGTTCTATACTTCCGAATCACATCTGGTTGTACCATACTCCAGTGTTTGCAGGCCAAACTGGGAGCCAATGCCATCCTGGCAGTGTCCATGTGCGCAGCGGTTGCTGGGGCCTAGACCATGGTAGATAGGTCTACAGTTTGAGGCTTTAGAGTAGCATCATGGCGTGATCTAATTCTAGTGGCTAGCTCAAGGCACTATCTAGAAATGAAGCTGATTCGTTATTCAAATGACGGAGCGGAGGCTCCACAAACCAGTTTGCTTATGATGACTTACTGTAAGATTCTGTGGACTTTTTGGCAAAGCAAGAAGCCAGAGATTTGCCCGTGCCAGACCTTAAGTTGAGCATGGAGAGCTAGCAAACTTTTGGCAAGCTTGCATTTGACATGATTGACACAATCACATGACATTGAAGCCCGACATGGAAGCACCTTGAATGGCGGTCTCTGTGAGATTTGCAAGCCAGTCATTTCTCTGCGATTCAGAGTTGGTATCTTGAATAGGCTGCAAAGAAGGGGCAGATCAAAGCGCTATGGCAAATGGATAAGTCCATAGAAGGACAAAGTTACTAAGTTACTATGATCAATGGTCACCATTGCAGAACTGCAATGGGTTGCTGGGTCGTAGGATGCCTGGGTCATTTCCACACACAGCATGCAGGGCTGTGTGTCGTGCTGGCGCAGAAGCCTTTGGCCCCGAACTCAGACAGTGTAGATTGTGCTCACACTTGGCGCTGGATGATTTGTTGGGGTCTAGTGGCCGACCTGCCATGCCATGCCCAGTGATCAGTTGAGGGATCCAAAATGAATCGATATATGTATAATTATGTATATTTAAGGGCTGCCGCCCCTGCCGCCGACCCCGGAAAAAAAAAAGAGGTTCGCAGTGCAATCCACAATCTTCGCAGGTCAGATGGATGGATGGTTGTCCTAGACTCTTAGACCTGTGCTTTTGTTGTTCTCCTAGCCTCCTTTCCGTTAGGATTGAGACATTGCATTTGCGGCCAGTAAGATGTTCATTCATTTCAAGCACCAATTGAGCACGCGTTCATCCAGTGTGGTTTCCAAGATATAAGACCATAGCTGTGCTGAGGTGCTGATATTATCTGTAAGGTATTGGTCATTTTGTTTTGAAGAAGCGTTCTATCATGTTGCGCATTTCGGAATCGATCTATGTATCTTTCCAGCCCATCAAAAACAGCACGGCTCAAACCAGGCCTGACTGTGAAAGATAGTCTTTTGCCAATAAAATAAAAATAGTCTTTTGCCAATAAAATAAAAATAGTCTTTTGCCAATATTAAAAATAGTCTTTTGCCAATTTTGCCAACCTTTTCCCGTTGTATTGCCTCCGGTGCTGAAAACAGCCCTCCGCCACACCAAAGCACCATGGCAGTGAACGACGGACACGCCACGAAATCGCACCAAAAAAGTCTCTAACGTCCCTTCTGCAACCCTATTAAAAATCGCCTTTTGCCAATTTTGCCAACCTTTTCCCGTTGTGCTGAATCCGCTGCTGAAAACAGCCCTCCGCCACACCAAAACACCATGGCAGTGAAGGACGGACACGCCACGAAATCGCACCAAAAAAATGTTTAACGTCCCTTCTGAAACCCTATTAAAAATAGCCTTTTGCCAATTTTGCCAACCTTTTCCCGTTGTACTGCCTCCGGTGCTGAAAACAAGGTCACGCGCGGGTATTTAACCTGGTCTCATTTGTGTCTTCGACAGCATTTCGTCCTGTAAAATACAGGAGTTTGTGTTATTGGGGTAAATTCAGCCGTCGCGGCGCGTTTCGTTTTCACTCATTTCAATTTTCCGAGGTGAGACTTCAAGTCTGCAGTGACTGGTAAGTGGTATCGCCAAAGAAAGGCATGCATATACAAAATCAATTTTTGATTCAAACCACCTTTGGACCAGTCTTTGTTGTTCAAAGAGGAAGGAATGAAACGGTCAAGCGATTGCCACCATCTGTCCACTGCTTGAGTTCCAGCAATGGTGGCTCCAGGTTTCTTCCAAGTTTTCAACTTTCGAGTGAACTGTTGTTTTCGATGCGTAACTGGAAAAAAATTGATCGTTTTCTCTCTGCACAGGCTCTCCCACGCTTTGGCTCCATCACTATAGAGACGGATTTTTTTGGAATCGCCTAAAAAGGTCATGATCTTGGATTGAACAATTTCAGACTTGGATTCCACAGGTGGACTTGCACCTGGAGGCACTAGCTTGAATGGTAAAACCTTCAAAACAATGTTGCCACCTCGTTTTGCAACCAGCCCCATGTAACTTCTGGCTTTCAAACCAAGTACTCGGAAATGTGCTTGCCAATACTTGGGCACCGGCTTGAACGGCTTTGCTTTTTGGAAGCGGGTAGCAGCAGCAGCAACTTCTGTTTGAAAGTGAGGGTTGTTTTGGCCGACGTACAGTTTGCGAAGACCATGCGCGTCTGCTTCGATGTCTCCCACCAGGCGTCTTGTTGCATTTTGTGTCCGACAGAGTTGTTCTCCCGCCCTTGCTTCCGCAGCTTGCAAAGCTTCATATATGTGCTCCACTGCACATCTGGCGAGCTTCAGTTGAGATTGGGCATCTGCTACACGGGGAGCTTCCATCAAGCGTGATCTGCTGTAAAAGGTAATCACTCTACACAGGTCAAAGAGGCTCAAGCGTGTGCCGCGAAACAACGAAAAGTCAGTGACATTGTGTCTTTTTTGGCATTTCCAAGAAGTGCACCTGAAATACAATTTCCCTGATGCTTTGAAAGGTTCTGCTTCACCAAGAGCCGCACCACAAGCAAAGCAACCTTTTTCAAATCCACGGATAAAACCAAAGGAAAGCAACTCGTCAAGAGCTGTAGCAACTTGTGCGGAATGAGCATCCACAACAGAACTTGAGGCAAGATGATGTGGAGTTCTCCTTCCACCTGTGTTCTTGACGGTGCCATACGCCTTCTTTGCTTCTTTCCGGTAATGTCCAGACAAGCATGACCTAGCCAAGTTGGTAGCACCAGGACATGACGACAACGTAACACGACGTTATCATCCCACCCCACCCCACCCCACCCCACCCAAGACGTAGCATGACCTAGCCAAGTTGGTAGCACCAGGACATGACGTCAACGTAACACGACGTTATCATCCCACCCCCCCCCCCCCCCCCCCCCCCCAAGACGTAGCATGACCTAGCCAAGTTGGTAGCACCAGGACATGACGTCAACGTAACACGACGTTATCATCCCACCCCACCCCACCCCACCCCACCCAAGACGTAGCATGACCTAGCCAAGTTGGTAGCACCAGGACATGACGTCAACGTAACACGACGTTATCATCCCGCCCCACCCCACCCCACCCCACCCCATTCCACCCAAGACGTAGCATGACCTAGCCAAGTTGGTAGCACCAGGACATGACGTCAACGTAACACGACGTTATCATCCCACCCCACCCCACCCCACCCCACCCCACCCCACCCCACCCCACCCACGACTAAAATACCCAAAAAACGCCCAAAACTACCAGGTTATTTATCAGCACGCCTCCGAAAACAACCCTCCGCCACACCAAAACACCATGGCAGTGAAGGACGGACACGCCACGAAATCGCACCAAAAAACTGTCTAACGTCCCTTCTGAAACCTTATTAAAAATAGTCTTTTGCCAATACTCCGCCACACCAAAACACCATGGCAGTGAAGGACGGACACGCCACGAAATCGCACCAAAAAAGTGTCTAACGTCCCTTCTGAAATCCTATTAAAAATAGCCTTTTGCCAATTTTGCGAACCTTTTCCCGTTGTACTGCCTCCGGTGCCAATATTAAAAATAGTCTTTTGCCAATTTTGCCAACCTTTTCCCGTTGTACTGCCTCCGGTGCTGAAAACAGCCCTCCGCCACACCAAAACACCATGGCAGTGAAGGACGGACACGCCACGAAATCGCACCAAAAAACTGTCTAACGTCCCTTCTGAAACCCTATTAAAAATAGTCTTTTGCCAATACTCCGCCACACCAAAACACCATGGCAGTGAAGGACGGACACGCCACGAAATCGCACCAAAAAAGTGTCTAACGTCCCTTCTGAAATCCTATTAAAAATATCTTTTGCCAATTTTGCCAACCTTTTCCCGGTGCTGAAAACAGCCCTCCGCCACACCAAAACACCATGGCAGTGAAGGACGGACACGCCACGAAATCGCACCAAAAAACTGTCTAACGTCCCTTCTGAAACCCTATTAAAAATAGTCTTTTGCCAATACTCCGCCACACCAAAACACCATGGCAGTGAAGGACGGACACGCCACGAAATCGCACCAAAAAAGTGTCTAACGTCCCTTCTGAAATCCTATTAAAAATAGCCTTTTGCCAATTTTGCGAACCTTTTCCCGTTGTACTGCCTCCGGTGCCAATATTAAAAATAGTCTTTTGCCAATTTTGCCAACCTTTTCCCGTTGTACTGCCTCCGGTGCTGAAAACAGCCCTCCGCCACACCAAAACACCATGGCAGTGAAGGACGGACACGCCACGAAATCGCACCAAAAAACTCTAACGTCCCTTCTGAAATCCTATTAAAAATAGTCTTTTGCCAATACTCCGCCACACCAAAACACCATGGCAGTGAAGGACGGACACGCCACGAAATCGCACCAAAAAAGTGTCTAACGTCCCTTCTGAAATCCTATTAAAAATAGCCTTTTGCCAATTTTGCGAACCTTTTCCCGTTGTACTGCCTCCGGTGCCAATATTAAAAATAGCCTTTTGCCAATTTTGCGAACCTTTTCCCGTTGTACTGCCTCCGGTGCCAATATTAAAAATAGTCTTTTGCCAATTTTGCCAACCTTTTCCCGTTGTACTGCCTCCGGTGCTGAAAACAGCCCTCCGCCACACCAAAACACCATGGCAGTGAAGGACGGACACGCCACGAAATCGCACCAAAAAACTGTCTAACGTCCCTTCTGAAACCCTATTAAAAATAGTCTTTTGCCAATACTCCGCCACACCAAAACACCATGGCAGTGAAGGACGGACACGCCACGAAATCGCACCAAAAAAGTGTCTAACGTCCCTTCTGAAATCCTATTAAAAATAGCCTTTTGCCAATTTTGCGAACCTTTTCCCGTTGTACTGCCTCCGGTGCCAATATTAAAAATAGTCTTTTGCCAATTTTGCCAACCTTTTCCCGTTGTACTGCCTCCGGTGCTGAAAACAGCCCTCCGCCACACCAAAACACCATGGCAGTGAAGGACGGACAGCCCTCCGCCACACCAAAACACCATGGCAGTGAAGGACGGACACGCCACGAAATCGCACCAAAAAACTGTCTAACGTCCCTTCTGAAATCCTATTAAAAATAGCCTTTTGCCAATTTTGCGAACCTTTTCCCGTTGTACTGCCTCCGGTGCCAATATTAAAAATAGCCTTTTGCCAATTTTGCCAACCTTTTCCCGGTGCTGAAAACAGCCCTCCGCCACACCAAAACACCATGGCAGTGAAGGACGGACGCGCCACGAAATCGCACCAAAAAACTGTCTAACGTCCCTTCTGAAACCCTATTAAAAATAGTCTTTTGCCAATACTCCGCCACACCAAAACACCATGGCAGTGAAGGACGGACACGCCACGAAATCGCACCAAAAAAGTGTCTAACGTCCCTTCTGAAATCCTATTAAAAATAGCCTTTTGCCAATTTTGCGAACCTTTTCCCGTTGTACTGCCTCCGGTGCCAATATTAAAAATAGTCTTTTGCCAATTTTGGCAACCTTTTCCCGTTGTACTGCCTCCGGTGCTGAAAACAGCCCTCCGCCACACCAAAACACCATGGCAGTGAAGGACGGACACGCCACGAAATCGCACCAAAAAACTGTCTAACGCCCCTTCTGAAACCCTATTAAAAATAGTCTTTTGCCAATACTCCGCCACACCAAAACACCATGGCAGTGAAGGACGGACACGCCACGAAATCGCACCAAAAAAGTGTCTAACGTCCCTTCTGAAATCCTATTAAAAATAGCCTTTTGGCCTGCTGGGCCTGCTGGGCCTGCCTGCTGGGCCTGCCTGCTGGGCCTGCTGGGCCTGCTGCTGCTGCCTGCTGCTGCTGCTGCTGCTGCTGGAGCTGGTGCTGCAGGCCTCCCGGATGGAAAAACACGGCTGAAACCCATAGAAAAAGATGAGTTTAGCTACTTTTTCCTCCTGCTGCTGCTGCTGCTCCTGCTCCTGCTACCCCTTCTGTTCAAAAGGCAATTCCAGAAGAAGAAGAAGAAGAAGTAGTAGTAGTAGCAGTAGTAGTAGTAGCTGGCGAAGTGGTAGTAGTCCGAAACAAGGGTCAAAAGTATTATTCCCTGGCGCGCTCCCCCTTGCGTCTGCCGGGGTCGGCGGATATATATATATATATGTATATATATATATGTATATATCTATATATATCTATAGTATAGTCTTTCTTTGGTGGTGCGATGTGTCCCATTCTCGCCCCCGAAATCCGAATGCTGCAGGCCTCCAACTCTTCGAGTACATCGGAGAACTGAAGGAGACCAAGTTTGATGCGAACAACTCAGGGAAGGCAGAAAAATTGCCTGTAGAGAGGACCATGAGTCAGTAGAATGTGGGTGTTGATCGCCTCAGAATGCTAATGACAAGATATGACAAGATATGACACAAATCCACACAAATCTGCGGGGGCTATAGGGGCCTCACATTTCTGGCGCGGAAGCACTTTCGCTCAGGTTGAGCAGATCGACGTTCAGCGGGCGAGGAGGAAAACTTACAAAATGATTGGCCCTTGGAACTGTCGGTTCTTTTTGGATCGCATTGGATTTTGCTATGCATTGAGAAAGTGACTGCAGTACACTGCAATAATTACACTGCAATAAGATTACATAACAATATTGGACTAATTAGATAATATTATGACTCCTGCATGTAAGCTCAGTGGAACCGATGCGCAGACTCCTAGACTCGCCGGAGTTGGGTGAGGCCAGTTCCCATGATGAACGTCATCAACGGCGGAAGACATGCGGGCAACGCACTCCCAATGCAGGACTTGTGGATTTTCATCTGAAACTACTTATCAGGTTTCTTCATGTCTCTTCCATGTCAGGCTATCGCAGTTCGGCACTCCCCTTACCAACAGTCTAAATTCTGACATTTAGGCATAAACAGGTATAGAATGTAGAGAAACCACTTCTACTGCAATGATGGGTCCCAGTGACATGAATTGGGCTCTAATCCTGACTCCTACCCCCATCATTGTGCCATCCAGCGGGCTAGGTTCGGGAAAAAAACTGTTTTGGACGCTTCATTTGCTTCATTTCTTGGGCGCAGGAGTTCATGATTGCTCCCACAGGCGCTAAATCCTTCAAGGAGGTCGGCTCCTCAGTTCTGTTGTCACAGAATGCATAGACTTAGAATAATATTTTAAGGATCATTCAGACTGGATTAAACTCCGCTTCAGCAACTACGGCTCAGCAACTACTTGCAAATCATCAATGACTACCCCGTGGGGAAAACTGGAGTTGCTACAATGGCGTGTACGCGGTGGGAAGATAAACAGCTGCATCCGACCCAGTCCTTTTCTGATGGTAGGCCTTACAGATTGGCTCAGAGGTTGGAGTCTTAGAACCTCTGGAGTTGGGGAGCATGATGATGGAACAAGAGGAAGCACCGAGGAAGCACACAGTGTTGCCCAACTTTGATTGTATCCTGCATAGCTGCATGGAAGTACGAGGATGCTAGGAGACGCTAGGAGCCTCCTGCAAGTGGGGCACAATTTACAGATTTAGTTAAGCATGATGGGCAGAATGCGGAGGTCTACCACTCCTTGCAAGCCGTTGTGAAGCAAAAGTATGGCAAGAGTGCAGCCGCTGTTGGCGACGAAGGTGTGGCTTTTTTTGGATGGTTTTTGTATGTTTTTGTCACATCAGCCTCAGCCCAGCTTATCAATTCAGATGATTGGCCCTTGGCTCAGGTGGATTTGCACCAAACATCCAGGACGTGTTGGATTCCCGATGGGAGGTTGACAATTGAATCAACTGACTTCATCTGTGGTCCACTGTGGTTTCCAATGTCTCAAGGAGATCTACTGTAACACTGTAGAGGTCATCCACGGTCATTCCATCATTATCCCCCCAAGGAGAACGACGAGGGCTTGCAAGCCTTGGTTGATGCCATCAAAGATGCTGGCGCCGCTGGCAAGGCTGCGACTAGAGTGATTTTCTCTCACTTGCCAGCTGGAGTGATTGAAACAGCTTGTTTCCTGTTGTGTCCTTTGATGTTTGATTTTTTTTAGAATCTGTTCAAAAGATGTTTGTAGAAATTTAAGAATATGATAGATGTATGAATATGTTACACTGTTGCAGCATGTTACAACATTTTAGATATGTGTTGGGTTCCATACGGATTCCATTCAACTCAGAATTGCTCCATTAAAAACAGCACGTCCAGCGCATTCCGGCCCAGGTGAAGCTTGCGATGGATATCGCGGCTTCGGAGTTTTACAACAAGGAGGACTGAGATGCACTGTAACATAACTGTAATAATCTGTAACATATATCTGTAGAATATATTAATTATATATATATACACAGTATATGTGTATATCTATATCTGGAAAATATAACAGTAACATATAGCTTATAGTAGCTGTAACATAACCAACATGACTCCTGTCGCAAAAGGATAGACATCTGGGTCCGATACAGGAGCAGTTCTGACCTGTTCTGACACATTTGCAATGTGCCACTGTTGACGGTGCCAGAGCTTTGGTTGATGTCCTAAACAAAATCTAAGTTGAATACAAGACCTGTCACACAGGACAAGACCTACAACTTGGGATTCAAGGCAGCTGTGCGGCGCTGATGTATCCGGTGTATCAACTGACCAGTCTAGGAGCAAGTTGATATTGGGAGGGCAAAAGTCTTTCTTCTGGTGCAACGTGTGTCCATTGGGAAAGCGCTTCTCTTAAAGCTCCAAATGGGTTCTTTCGCAACATGTTTCTCAGAAGTCAACTCTGACCTTTGTGGCCGTGACAGGCGGAAAACCCCGACTCATCCTTGATCAAGACAAAAGAACAACTGGTGGACTGGTACAAGGATATGTCCTCAAGGTGCAGCTGCAGATGGACAAACAACTGAATCAAAGATGGACCTGGATCAGATATCGTCCTTTTTATCTACAGTACTTAGTATACTTTTTCTAATGCCAATACAGGTGAAGGCAAGATAGAGGCGATCTGAATTTGAATCTCATCTATGTTGTGTGTTCTCCAACATATAGTTTCCATACATTTCCGCTTCTGCAAGCTTTGCTGATTGCAGACTTCTTTGGCCTTGTCAGTCTGCCCTGGGTACACTACATGCAGTGTTTCATTTAAAAAAGGCACTGCGGTTGAAAGGATCTTGGGATCCTACAATTCACAACCATTCAGCACGCTGCCTCAGATTCCCCATCGTTTCCATCGAGGATCCCTTCGACCAGGCCCAAACACACCAACCTACACTGACAGCAACATACACCAACAGCGTATAATAGATTATAATTACAATAGCATATCAACAGACAGTGTCACAGTGTATAGCCATTCATAGCAGCTTACAGGGCCAAGCCCGTCAGGATGACTGGGATGCCTACAGCGGCCTGGTAGAGGAGCTGGGCAAAACCGTTCAGATTGTGGGCGACGACCTGTGCGGAACCCAGCACCGCTGCCAGCACCGCTGGGACCGGACTGTCACGGAATCTCAGAGACTTTGACACATGTCTTGTGGACATAAGACATAAGATATCATAAGATCACTGTTTGTTTTTACATGTTTTTACCGTAATTGATTTCAGATATTTTCAGCCCTGTGCCGAATATGTATATACATCTATGATGATCATTGATGATCATCTATGATCATCTAATTATGTACCATTTGCATTGGGATTTCAACATTGTTTGATTTGTTTGCAGTTGGGCCTTGCAGACCTTCATACATTTGTTTCTACTTCTACGAAGCCTTTAAAGGATGTGCTGTTGTTTTGCACTCGGTCAAATGACTCAGATGGCAAAAGCTGTAAGTAAATTCAGTCCTCAGTTGGATGGTTTGACTGTCTTCCGTCATTCTCTGTCACATCTCCATATTCCCAATCAAATTTTGTGTCATGCAGGCTGGTGACAAATCCAAAGAGGATCCACTATGCCCAGGAGCACAAGGCACCTCAACGACTCTGGGATCGGTTGGAACCTGCCGTGGATGGCACCGCTGGCACCATTGCCAGGCAGCCAATGCCCTTCTCTTGAAGGTGAACCAGATCGGCAGCATTACCGAAGCCATTACAGCATATTTGGACAGTGTCTCTACAGGTTGGGGTGTCATGGTCCTGTCCTCAGCGACTCAGTTTGACATCCCCATAATCATCCCTTTTCCAATAGGAAAATATTAGCACAACAATACCACCAATCTCCGCCAATGACTGGCTTGCCACCAGACTATCTGAGGTTTCTCATCGGAGTGGTGAGACCGAGGATACTTTCATTGCCAGACCCTAAGCCCATGGACCTCCCAAAGGTTCACCGTGGGGTTCCAGGTTCCACTGGTGCGATTTGCTGAGGCAGATATGGCAGTGGGCTTAAGCACTGGGCAGATCAAGTGCGGATCTTGGTGGAACAGGAACCATCAGGAACCAAGGAACGGGATGGAATCGCGACTGTAACAGTAGGGACAGTAGGGAAAGTGTGTCGGAGTTCAGACTAAATGAGAGGCTGTGAAGTCTTTGGAATGATGCCGCTTTTGGGGTTCGAAGTATTTGCCAGACCAAATGACTCCAAGGACTGGTGCTCCATGCCGATCAGAACGAGTTGCCAAGCGTGTGACTCAGAGTTGAGCCTCAAATTGCAATGATCCTTAGGAAACAGTTGCAAGATGTTGCAAGCATTGAGCTGCTTCCTTGTCTGCCTCGGAGATCTTGGGAGCAAAATAGTCAGAACCGGTTTGAAGAAGATTTGAGTTTGAATGAACCCTTCAGCATCATACTAGATTGACACCCATGCTGCCTTGATTTCCAAACCCTTTTTGCTCCGTGACACGTGTCAACAAGGCCGACCTGTAGTAACTACTGTAGTGACATGTAGTAACATAATATAGGTAATATACTGTAGCTATTGTTTGTGGTTAGTGGCTCCAAGGTACAACCAGCTGCTCCGGATTGAAGAATACCTTGGCCGCCGCGCAACCTACGCAGGGATCCTAATCTGCTCTCTCTCTCTCTCACTTTACGGTGAATCGATTAGAATCAAGGAGAATCAAGGTGCCTCACGCAGTAGCAGCAAATGCAAAGCATTTGTTGTCTCTTCTCTTCTACATCGATGCCAATAACTTTTCAGTTTTAATCATTCTGGTCTGTTTTCGTTTTGTAGACCCAGGCAGAAACCACTCTCGATCCCACTGGGTGTTTTTCCCATGTAACTGAGGCGGGTGACAAATTCAGAGATTCCTGAGATTTCCAGATTTACGGTCTTTCCGGGTGCCGATTCGGCCCTGTACCTTAGACATGGTACCTGGTACTAGCGCTCGCTATGTAGAAGGATCATGAAGAGTCTCAATACGTTATGTCCATTATGTCATTTGAATCATTCAATACTGCATCGGCAATGGAACGCTAACGGCTGGTTTTATCTGGTCTTATATGTTTCATGGATTGAGAAAACTTGTGCTCAAACAGTGTCAGCAGATGACACATTTTCAGCACTTTCCAGTGAAGCGCCACGCTGCCACTCCAAAAGAATGTTCGGGATTGCTCCCGAGATGCAGGCAGACGCTTAAATTGTCCATTTGAAAGGCTGCACACAGACAATGTGCTGGCATACAAATTCTTGCAACATAGCGCCTGGAGCTCTGTCTTCGCCTCTTTGTACTTATATGATAATCTTAGATAACGCGAATCATCAAGTACTATTTTTGTGTATTATAATTATTTCCTTGGACTCTTTCAAACAAAGATCTGGCCGCTATGAACAAGTACCAATACTTGTTCTGGTGCACAGCATGGGCTGTGGCACCATTGCTTATGCCGATACCCAAATTGTTTCTTGTGTACCTCCAACGGTGGCGGTGGCTAGCGTAGCCCGCTACCGCCATGGAGTTTTCAGAGCTGCAAAGAAATAGCCGCATCAAATGTGTGCCTCCCGAGAGATTTCTCAATGCACTTGCTTGCTTTTAAGAGTTGCCTTCTGCCATCTTCTGCCCTCCTGAAAACTTTGCGAATTGATTTTCTGGCAATGCCTAACAGTTTCGGTGTTTCAATTCTCGGAGGCAGCGTGAGAAGGAAGGATTCGCGACAAAACAATTGCAATATTCCTAAACTCCTAGACATGTCGGTTCAAGAGATCATGGTTCCGATTGCACTTCTCTAACCGGCTTGGGCCCAGCAGGGTCGGAACCGAGCAGGGAGCTGCTTGGCCGATCTGGTGCCATGGAGCCTGCATGTTGTATGGCACTGCTTCAACGGCCGGGCCGAGGAAATCCGCCCACGTCAAGAGTCCCAGTGGCCGCAGGCAACAGAGAGTGCAGCGACTGCTGCGATTGGGGCTAAATCCTCCATGGCAGGATGTTCTGAGATTCCTGGCAGATGAAATTGACGCATGGAAGCAAAGGCCTCAATTTGCAACTTTGATGAAGATGATTTTGGATGTTTTGCTGGTGTTTTTGACACACACTGACAAAATGATCACAGCTTTTGTTGCTTGATTTTGTTTGGGCGACATGGGCGGGCCAGGCGACTAAGCTGCTTCTAGACATTGGAGAGAAGAGACTTCCACTGGCAGAAGTTGTTTTGCGATGTATGCGAAAGACATCTATTGAGGTGAACGTCCTGCACAGCAACGTGGCAGCTGGAGCATGCCTGCAATGCAACATGTGGCAACATGCATTGGATGTCACCAGTGAGCTTGCAACGCACTACACAGAGGGAGATATCACTTCGGTCTCAACAAGGATCAGAGCTTGTATGCAGCGAGGGCATTGGCCCCTAGCTCTTTCGGACATGAAGACCATGCAAAATATGAAAGCAGGAATCGGCAGATATACCAAAGCAGTACTTGCTCCATCGAAATCTGCGAATGCCTGGGATGTCGCACTGTGGTTTCACTTCTGGCTTGCGAATTTCAGATTAGATCCTGATCCCGTGAGTACTGCGGAAGTACTCAGCTCATGTAAAGGGGACAGAGGTTGGCAACATGCTGTTGAAGTTCATGAGGGAATCTCCTTTCCTCCGAGAGATCTGAACTTGAACACATACCTGGATGCTTTGTGCATTGGAGGTCAGTGGTGTGCATCCTATGATTTGTTTCTGCAAATGCCTGGACTGCGGGTCATGCCGGACCTAGTGACTGCCAACACGGTTGTCAATGCGGCTCCATGGAAACTTGCGTGGATAACTTTTTCAGAGTCACTCGGTGTCCACTTCATTTTTCACAGTGTTGTTTCGTTCACCAGTTTGAGTCCTTCAATGAAATGTTTAAAATTAGACGAAAGTAGTATGAAGTCAGCATAGTCTCTTCTCAACGCACCAGGTTTTTTAGGAGCGCTTCCATTAAAGCTGACGTGGTGAGCTAGCGCTTCCATTAAAGCTGACGTGGTGAGCTATGCTGCCATCATCCCTTCAGACGAAGCTGCTTGGCAGGCAGCTTGCATGTGTGCTCACGAAATGCGCCAGGGGCATATTGCGGGCAACATCCGAATCTGGAACTCCTGCATGCGAAGTGCATCTCTCGCTGGCAGATGGTTTGAAGTGTTCGAATCAATGGCTGAGCTGAAGCGCCAATCTCATGAGTCCGATAGCATCAGCTACACCCTGGCACTCTCAGCAGTGGAGGAAGGTCAGGTATGGCGACAAGCCCTGATGATGACATCGCAGCTGCGAAACCTCGCAGTTTCAGTGGACCAATTGGCATGCAGTTCCGTTAGCCGTGCACATGCTATGAGCAACCTTTGGCAAGAATCTATGTCGATGTTGCGCAGACATGGCAAACAAATTCGCGTGGACGTTGTGATGCAGAATCAGATTCTGGATGCATATGAGAAATCAGCAGAGTGGCGCAGCACCTTGCAAGCATGTTCGATGATGAGCCTTGCAGGCCTTGAACAAGATCCAGTCAGCTTTTGTGCAGTGATGAGCAGCTGCCGGACAAGCGGCAGCTGGCCATGGATGACTGGCATTGTGGAGCATTTGCGGAAGTCCCACCAGCCTTTGGATTTGACCTGCCGCTTTCCTGCAGATACAGCGAACTGATGTAAACTGACAGTAAACTGACAGTAAACTGACAGTAAACTGACAGTAAACTGACAGTAAACTGACAGTCTGACAAAATCCAAATTATCTAGTAGAATTTGACAGTCAAGTAGTGCCATATCTTCAGGTTACAACTCTGCGATCAGCGCCTACACTCACACTGACCACTGGCGTTCGTCTATGTCCACGCTCAGCCAGATGTCTCAGTGCTGCGCATCTGCAGATGAGATCAGCTTTAATGCAGCCATACAGGCACCGGTTCAACAGATGCAAGCATACTGTCAAGATGTCAAATCATTCAAAATCGACCAATTACTTTCAGTTGCTACCAAAGCCGCAAAGTAACCAGCTAAAGTCATCAAAAGTTTATGTCATTATCAGACCCGTGCTAAAGATGCAAACTTGATACGTCCAATGACCTTTCAAGAGCAGCACCAGCTTTTTCCTGCTTGTCTTGATAGTTGCCTTGCTGCTCTCTCGAAGCCTTTGCAGGCTTGCAGTGGCCAACCTCATTGGGAACAAATGCCTCTCAGCTTGTATTACAACTGGATCAACTGGAAAGGTTCTTAAGCAACTTGAGCTAGCTAGATTTCCCTCTGCCCAGTTGCAAGTTTCAGTGTAACATTACACAAGCACCCAAGCATGTGGGATCATGTGGGTATGTATCAAGGGTTGGGCTGTGCCTAATATTAAATTATAATTAGATTAAACCATCACAACCCCCCCATCTTGAGCAACGAATTCTGAACGATGCCATCAGATGCCATCAGATGCCCATGTATTGAGCGTCAAGGTGTTTGTCGGTCTTCGAACTTCAGTTTCGACGACTAAAGATGGATCTATGTCGCGAGAGTGTCCTGCAGGAGATTGAACAGCGATCGCTGAGTGGGGCTGAAGTGCCTTGGCCGGATAGATTCATCAGGGTGATGCAGAGGATTTATGATGATTTATGGAATCTTATGGATTTTTGATGCTTTTTGTGGATATTTATGGCTAAGGATTTTCTGAGATTTTGTGGCCGGGGATGGCCGGGGTATTACTGTAGAATCTCCCCAACGAATCCCAACTATCCAGTCCTGCGGCGTCAGCATGCCGGTAGATGTGATAGCTATGGGTAGCTGGTTGGATCTGGTGGATCTGGTCCTGCGATGTTCGTGAGGCTAATCTGCTGCAGACGATGATGTTTGGCTTGAACGATCTGCGGACTACGAAGACGTGACTTCGCATCCTGCCTTGAGAGACATGTCGCCAGATGTTTGAACGAGCAAAAAAGGCTGAAGTCATGGGGGAACTGTTATGTTGGATTGATAGGATAATATCCTAAGATATCCTAAGTCCTAAATGGTTCCGGCTGTAGCTTATCCTTTACTACTTGATACTTGTACCAGTACAAGCGTGAACAAAAGATACGAGATTTTGTGGGAATTGAGGTAGCAGACAGCACGCTCTAAATAGCGCTGAATGAATCATTGGTGCCCCATGGATGGTTGAATTGCAGTTGATTCATGTTGATTCTTGATAGTCGTCAACAACAATAGCTGATTGGTTTCAAACCCGCAAGGCCGCGGGGCCGCGGGGCCGGAAGCACGAACGGGGGATGTCGCAGTCCGACGATGTCCTTGGCCGCGACTCCCAGTCGCAGCGTCAGGGCTACATGCAGAAGAAGCTCGAGGCCAGCCAGAATCGGAGGAGAATGACAAGCTGGTGGTGGTGATGATGGTGATGATGGTGATAATGACGATGATGGTGGTAATGATGGTGATGATTGGTGATGATAGTTCCAGCATGTCAATGCTAGGTACCGATTTGCTACTCGTACCTTCTTGCAGAAGGATTTTCGAGCAATAGGGGCGCACTGTATTTCAAATCATTCAACATCGTTTCCCCATTGACTAAGAGGTTTGGAACATACAAATCATACAATGTTTCTTCATGTTTCTTCATCAACGTCTCAGACCCAGCGTCTCGAAAACAAGATAACGCTGGTTTCGCAGAGATGGTTTCGTTCGCCTCCAAGCCCAAAGTTCTTTCGTTTCGCCAGGTTCATCTCAGTGACTTATCAACGGAGCTCATGGCCCTGAAAGAGTGCTTGGTTTTTAGCTTAGATCCAGCGCTGGAGCAATGGATAACATGGATGCTCTCCTTTGATGTAGAGCTCATCCAAAGCTCTTACAATTTGCCTTTGACATCCTTTGACACCCTTTGATGTGGGCTGTCTTTGAATCCATCGTCACATTAATCATTCATTATGTTACCCCTCGGACACCATTGGTTCAATCCTAGTAGTGGATGAACATCACCCGCTTTCAGAACTGTCCGAGATGTGCATGGTTGCCTCTGAGGGTAGAGTTGGATGACTTGAGGTTGAAGTTGGCATTTTGCAACAGGAGCACTTTCTGGTCAAGTTCTCAGTGGACTCCAACGAATGATTGGACTCCGAACTTTTGAATCTACTATATTGGATATATTGGTAAAGCAACACTACTGAGGTTCGATCATTCCTCCTTGAGAGTGGGAAGTAATTGCTTATTTGCAAGATTTCGCACGCTTATGCTTCAGAATTTTCCGATGCGTTGTAAAATTGTATATGTAACATTATTTAACATTATTTATGCTTCATTCATGCCGTGAAGAGCATCCATGTCAACATGATAGCTCGCAGATCAATCTTTGCAAGCTGCTTCCAAACCAGAGATCCTTTTTGAGCTAGATTGATTTTCACCTACGCGGAAGCATTCAAGGGCATGTCAATCATACACGTGCATATCGTGAGTTTTTCAGATGGTTCTGCAATGTTTGGAGTGAGTATCACATTCACCTTCACCGAAGACAGCCCAGCAATCCAATCATTTTGCCCACTGCAGCTGAGGCCCGCTTACACCACAAGCGGTTTGCAGCCGCATCACAGGCCTCATAATGTTGCAGCCACGTGATGGTTGTTCTTCAGAGGCTTTTGCATGCCCCTAGCTGCTTTGGATTTCACACTCCTCCATGGACTCCATGTAAAAGCCATGAGTTTGGGCGCGCAGGCTCATCCGTTGGGTGCAGTTCAAGATGCTTCGCAGGTGCCCAATGCTGATCCACTCATGCTCCCCAGGGGTGAGATACTCCCCTCGCATCGCATGGATTCGCATGGCGTCTCTGGCTTCAGGCGCTTGGAACTTCGGAACTGGCCCTTGCCGTGATCCATGCAGCAGGCATGTGATGGGGTCCTTCTGTGACCTTATGTGGAGGATGAGAACCAGGTAGATCTCCAAAAATGATGTAGTTGTGTTTTTCGTCATTTTTGGAGATCTGTTGAGATCGGTTGAAAGACATCTCAACGGATGGGCAGTCTGGGTTCCCAATAGAAGCCAAATGGCAGACATAGAAAGATGGCAGGTTCCTATCACGGATTGATTTGAGGTCTCTAGTCCAAACATTTCAGCGGTCCAAACAAATGAGATGATTTGCGATTTAGTGAAAGCGAAACATTTGTACTACCTCATCTATCTCAGATTTTCACCTGGGGAAGTCGACACTTGGAAAATTGCTTTCCTATGTTTGCTTAGAACTATTGAAACAAACAAGGAGCATGTCTTGAACTTGAAACACAACTCAGAGCTCTGCTTCAAAGGACCGGGAACGCAACAAGTGAAACATTCAGCCGTGGGCAAGTGATATTCCAGGTCCTTCAGCTGCTCGACGTTTGATAGCTGCCTCTCGGGGAATCTCCCAGGTTCGATGGTTGCTTTGCTATGCATTTGCCCAAACTTTTTTTGCAATTATTGGCAGACAATTTTCAGTTTCGCAAGCAACTAACCACAATTTCATACAACTTGCCGACTTGCCCATGGCAGTGTGCGCTGCCTTTGCTGAAGTATGTGGACCAACTGTCGCCATCACGTGCGCTAGCGGCATGTTTCGCGATATTCTTTTCCCGTAAATTGTTCTACATTGTTCTACATTATTCGACATTATTCTACTATGTTTGCTTCCCCAGGTTAATTATGCATGTTTATTCCTAATGTGTTGAGAAACAATGACGAACCTATACGCACACAGACAGACAATCATAGAAAGGCCATGGTTTTTCTGAGGGTTTTCTCTTCACTTGGAACAGCTGGAGGTATCTATGTCTGCGATCTTCAGGTGGCGAGTCGAACCAAAGGGCTGGGATGGAGGAAACTGGATCTCATAAGGGGGGCCCCAAACAGCAAAGGAATCCAAAACAGATGCTCTGGACTCACCGTTCAGTTCCCTGTGTGGTGGTGCTTTTGGACAATCACCTTGCCCTTTATAGGTAGCAGCCGAGCTTCCAAAGGTGAGGCTTCGCGACAGCCAAACACCATGGTCCTGAAGCACATCCTTGCACCTGCCGCTGTCACTGCCAAGTTTCCAAAAGTGAGGCTTTGCGAGAGCCAAACACCAAGGCCCCTGGTGTTCGCTTTTCCTTCAATGCGCCCCTGCTGATGGCCGGGGTCTCTGAATAGGGATATTTTCGCGAAAGTTCTGCGAAGGAGCGGGCGGAAGTCAAAGTGCATGTTGAAGGGGTTGGGTCAGTAAACCTTGCAAAAAAACCTAGTCAGCAACACTCTGCCCTGAGAAGGGATTCCGTGATGCTAGCTACATGTTTAATTAAAAGGCTATCAAGAAGTGATCCGTGATTCTCTGGCGTAATTTGGCAGGTGGTGAACGAATCTTCATAAGAGGCGTTGTTGCCCAACATGGGCCCCGCGAGAGATAAATGTGGAGTTCGCGAAAGTTTCGCGAAAGTACCTTTTTTTTCTGCGAAGAATGGCCGCTTGCGGATTCAGGAATTTTGGTCAACAACCTATGAATATATACGTAGGTATTTCATGTTGTTTGTACGTTTGAAAAAATCTGTTTGGGAGAACGGCCGAAAGAAGGGCATTTCTCTGAACACATGACGGTTTCTGTACAACTGTGACCTCATGACTGCAGTGCCGACAAAGAGTTTGGTAACCAATCATCCAAGCACAGCTGTATTGCGATTGGTGCTGTTCCCATGCGCAATTTTCCTCTTATCCTCCTACCATATCCTACCCTATCCTACCCCCCTTCCTGATTCATCGCGCCAGCAAGACCCTTATTGGTACTTGTAGGTGGGGGAGTGGCAAGCGCTGCCACCACTCTCCACTGCTCGTAGCGGTGTGCCTTGCTGGCAATTTTGATGGGGTGCATGGCACCTGGCGCACCACACATTGATTAGCCTGAGTTGGTAACCACTTTGAGCCGATGAGAAACTTGGTCATTCCATGTCATTTCAGGATTCCATAATGAGGTCCGAGAACTGGGTCTATCATTTCCATACCCTCTCCATTTTTTGGGTTTGGGAGATGAGTTTGGGACATCTCTCTGGGTTCGCTGCTGGCGAGGCTGCTGCAGGGGTTCTATTCGGTCAGCTTTATGTGGCAGGTGGACAGGATGGTCCGGGGCTCACTTTATCTTGTCTCTCTGGAGGCTGCAATGTGGGTCTTGGATGGTGATGGAACAGGAGTTATCTCGGAACATCTTGGAACTATTGTGAATTATGTTCATTTATTTTGATTTGTTTTGTGTATAGGACCCGATGTACCTGTTACAGCATGGTTGTGCAAGTGTGCGCACTGCATGTTGAGTGGCAATTGAGCAGTGTCCCAGATTCTGGGTACGTAGTTTCTAAAGCGGGTTGTACTACTTGGTTTCTTAATGTTATTGGGGATTGTTAAAGCCCATTATGAGAACCCATATCAATTGCCATGCGACGAATATGAGAGCCAAGGTACCAAAGTTTTTAAGACCGTCGAATGCTTTGACCCCAAGCATGAAGCTGAGAGAAGCTGAAGGGGGGCTGAGGGGTGTCGTCTCTGAAGGTCATGCATCGCATTAGGGTTCAAACTCACCTTCTGACCGCATACCAACTTGTGAACATCTTGTGAACTTCATAAGCTAAGAAGACACGGGTCAACAGTTTTGCCACATTTTGCAGCAGCACCATCTTGGAGCATTCAGAGGTCAAATAGGTGGGAAAGACTCCCCCCTATGCAGGACCAGATGCTTCTGTTGAAGAGCTTTGAGTACGTCATAAAACAAGTGTACCTATCCAGAATGATGACACATTTTTACACAGATACATAGTTACATAGCCACAGCGGTTTACCTTCTCATATACTTTTTCTAAAACTGTTCAGGAGGCAAGAGCATGTGCCATGGTTGTGACCCCAGCCCTTGATGGAAGGTTGCAGCTTGTGATCACCTCACTCAACTCTTCCTTAGTCTGGACTCTATGGGCTGAAATGGGATAGAACTTTTTTAATGTCAAACTTGTTTGATCTTTTCCAGTTCCTGAGCACCGATTCCTGAATATCAAGATTCACATTTGGAAGTGAGTTCAGAGTGTTCTCCTTGATTCTGATGATTTTTTGCCTTTCACCAGGCAACATCCATTCATGACCGCTTGATGATCTGTGGTGGGTACGACGACATTCATTTCCTGAAGTTGGGAGCTCTAGATCGATGTCCAATTGACTCCGGCAACAGCTGTGCGGAGGTTTCTTGTAGTAACTAGTAGGATCTGAGATCGAGATAGAATAAGAATGAACAAGATAGATTTTGGTGTCCAGCATTTGGCTGTGAACTCCTGCGTGGACACGAAACTCTTCTGTGGGCAGAGCCTCTGGCTTACTAACCAGAGAGACTCAGAGATCTCAGAGAGACTTTGTGGATGCAATCAGAGGACAGTTCAATCATAGAGAATAGACATTGGCTGACTAATCTTGGCTCTCCTTTTGCAGAGGTCTGCAGAAAGCTTCGATCCCATCCGGAAGCGGTACGCAGGGATTGGAAGATGTTTCTCTGGGTATTCTACCATATCCCACCGCAAATTGATGTGGCCACGCGTGCGGTCAGAATTCACGTCTCTGGTGACTTTCAGGCGAATCTTCAGCATCTCATTTTCATCAAATTTGCCATTTTCCGGTTTCCCAAGTTTCAAATAGTTTCAACCAACATTTTCACCCCAATTTTCATCTCCAAAACATGCAATTTCATACAATTATTAACCGATTCTGTAGGTGGCAAGCTCTGCCAAGCATGCAATGGCCGTGGGGGTACCCTGCGTGTGGAAATGGGGCCACTGCCTATATCCCCTAAATGGCAATTTTAAGAAAGGAAAATGATGGTAATCCATGATAATCCGCTGGAATTGAAGGTGCCCTATGTATT